CCCCCCCCGGCTCGATAATTGTGTGTCGATCCGAACTCGAACTCGAACTGGTCCACCCCCCTCTCGCTCGATCCACGCAATCTCGCGCATCGAACTCGAACTTGAACTCGAACTCGAACGGGATCAGTTAGAACTACCTGGGGCACGGCCTGCTCTTGATGATATTTCACCCTTTCCCTTTAAACTGAACAGCCTCTTCCTGTGGGGAGGTCTCCATCAGTTGATGCCTCCACTCACCTCCCGAGCGGCCGATCGCCGAGGCGATCCAGGGTCCGGGACCTCGAGCAACAGCTCAGTCGCGCGGAGGAGCGACAGAGAAGTCGGGCGCAGGGGGATGGGGAAGAGCGGATCGGACCGTTCAGGGGAGGAGACGCGACCTCAAAGTCATGTTGACTGTTGATTCATGTTGTTGTTTTTTTTGTCCGCTGAAGATGTAGAACCATCCTGGTTGGCGGGAACTTGATCAATCAACGTGACTGGATATTTCCTCAAGGTATTTCGGGGCGAGTTCGGGGTTTCAAGGCCACGTGTCGTAGCGCATACCAGATAAATACCATAATCCCAAAATATATATCAAAATACACCGAAGGCCGAAGTGCTGAGGTATGCTGATAGGTGCTAGGAAAGCAATCAGTTCATCAATTATACACATCATCAGTTGAACCCTGGTTGGCCAATGCCGAACCGTGGTCAGTGCCCCTCAGCACTTGTTCCGCCAGGAGAACTCGGTGCGTCTCAAGGACCTGGAGACATGAGATGCGGAGTCTGAATTGTTCTTTCCTTCATCGAGGATCGTTTGCCTCATTGATTCAACACATTTCAACACATTCTTTTCTGTTTTGGTCCAGAGACCCCTGAACTGCTCCACAAATCCACCAGCAGGCTGTTGCGACTCTTTGAGGCTTGCGCACTTCTTTTCGCATAGTCCAAAAGAGGATTTTAGGAACGGATCACCAAACTACGCCACTGGTTGTAGGTTTCCGTTTGATTCTTGTGGCCGCTAAAGGCGAAGTCGAATGACCACACTTGGAAGTCGAGTTTCGGATGTAGCTGTTCGTTCTCACCAGGAAGATCCCACTGTCCAATGGTCCAACAGCAGGAAGCGGCCAGTCGCGCGGCCGAGCGCTTGCAAGAGCAAGCCATGAAGGCAGGATGAAGGGAGGTTTTTTCAGCGAAGGGAACCTGAAGCATCCTGAAGCGGGTTCTCTGGTGTCCTTGTTGATGAGTTGTTTTGGGGCTGTCCGAAAAGCAGGGAGCACCCAGGAAAGTAGTATTTACAATAGTCGTTATAACTGTTCTTTAAAGTCCCAACTTCTTAGGGGTGAGTTCTCTGATACGACCATATCGAGTTGATTTGAAATACGCCTATAGGTTGGTTGCAGTATGGACATCCTATGTGTAGATGCAGCGGAGTCAGCATGGACCTCATGCTCGGACGGATCCGAGCTTCCTTCGACGGACCCAACTGGACCGAACAGGACAGCGGAGGACAGCGGACTCTCCCAAGTCCCGAGGAGCTGGTGGTTTCTATGGAACTGCTTCCTCTGGAACCGGTGGGGTTCCATACTTTTCACCTCGTTTTCACCTCGTTTTCACCTCGTTTTCACCTCGTTTTCACCTCGTTTTCACCTCGTTCTCACCTTCATCCAACCCACAGTTCACTCACGATCGTTCCCCATCTTCTTTTCGATCCGCCGATCCCGAAAGCACCGTCGTGTCGCAAGGAGCGGCAGCTCGAGCGGCAGTTGGCAGACGCTTCCTTGAGTTGCTTGGACACAGCTGTGAGGTCTTTAGGAACGAGCCACGTGAGCCGCCCTCAGCCACCTCCTTTTTTACAGGGGCAGATGCCATAGTAGGTGCTTAATGATTAGCAGAGCTCAGGCCTTCACAAAAGGGGGGGATTTGTTGGAATTCGCCTAGTGCATGGAGGCATGACTCCCAAACAAGTGATGTTCACGGTCCAAGAAGGGGAAACCAGGGCAGGTTGCGCAGCTCCAGCAGAAACTGTCGTACGTTCAAAATGGATTGCACGGTCGCTAGACCAGCTTTTGATGAGGACCAATATAAGCCGCTCAACGACCGGGGTTAGTTCCATTTTATCAATCTACTCTAACTAATCCCAAAGCTGTGAAAAAAATTGCTCATTCAGGCAGTCGCATCGGCATTGCGTTCCTCCCAAGCCTTTGACCTCTTCTTGCGGCCCCCCATGACATATCAGCATGCACCTGCGCACCTGCGCACCGGGGTGGTCAGCCTCCAAGTCCCGTCCGTTCCCGTCACAACTCGCTCAGGCAGCAGCTGGTCCCGCATGATGGGCGCCGTCGAAGGGGTGGGGCCTGGGTGGTGACACATGACGTGATGACGTTGGAACGTTGGGACGGACGGCAGCGAGAAGTCATGGAATTCCAACCAAGCATCCAAGAGATGCCAAGATTGAATCCTTTCAGAGATCAAGAATCATTAAAAGACAAAGAACATCATACAGCCTGTAGGCTGTAGGCAGCTCCATGAAGTGCCGGCAGAAACCTACCTCTACAATCAAGCACCAATGGCTATTAATAGCTCTCTTCGAAAATTCAACAGACACACATTCATGGTGTTTTCCAGAAGAACCACAGTACCAGCAGTCCCATGGAGTTGGGTGCTATCCATGAAGGTCGTCGGGGTGTCCCGAATCCACACCCACTCTGGAATATGACGAGCCACACCCCAACTCCATGTTTTCCTGGTACTCGTTCATGGAGTTTGATTCTTTCTATGTTTGCTATGCTTCTTAAGCTACTAGTAACAAGTGCCACGCTACTAGTAACAAGTGCCTTACTAGTAGTAACAAGAACGCTACTAGGAACAGCTTGTTCTTTCATTTTCGACCTCTACCCCAACCTCGACCGCCCCTCGGCGTCGACCGAAGACCTTCCTGACCGCCCCACAACCACCTCAGGTCTCCGGCACCTTCCGAGCGGCCACCAGTCGATGCATGCGGCCGCCGGGGGACCGAGAGCCGCTCTCAGGCGTCGTGGGCCGTCCGCGTCCGCCTTTTGGTTGTGGACGCCGGAGGAAGAGGTGTAGGGCGCAGCTTCTGGTGATTCCAATATGAAGAGGTCAACTTGCACATGGGACATGGGGAGGTATTTTTAGTAATCAAGAATCTATATACATTTTGAATCATTTTGATACATCTTGGATCATTTTTATATTTCAGAAAGAAGATTGACATCATAATAAAAGCAATCAAACACCAGCCTCAATTGATGTGGAATCATAGGCTAGTGCCATCACATCAGTTGTACGGGGGAAAGATCCGATGCCTTGATGAATCATGGAAGGCGATCTGTTTATTCTTTGTCTTTTTTAAGGGCATCATTTGTAATACGGAAGCTGATCCAAGATTTGCTGAAACATCCGCGCCGTGCCAAGGAACAGGGGCTACGAACAGACCCCGTCGATTTGAGGCGCATTTTCCAAGCCGAAGGAAGCGAGGCAATACGCATGGCTGGGCTCTTTCTCAAATTTTCTCAAGATTGAGAGTAAAACGATCTCAATCTCACACAGCGCAGCAAGAAAACACAGCCACCTCTCAGACAGCCCAGCTGGCGCTGCTCATGGCTCGAGTTCAGTGGATCCTTTTGCTAGCGGACAGACAGACCGGAGAGAGCGCAGAAAGCTAGCGGAGACCGACCCTGCCACGCGGTCCGAAGTTTGAAGGCTTGAGTGACATCAAACCTCCCGCTTTGCTGGAGCGTTGCTCATATTAAATTGCTTGAGTCGGGTTCAAGCTTGTTTCCAGATAATTAGGCAGCATCCCAACATCTATTGGCTCTTCATCATCTACTGGTTGCCAAAGAGACAAAGGTTGATGAAAATGCAAACAGTCCAATGATGTTGATGTATTGTCCGTAGATGCCACAGCTTTGACAGGTCACGAGTTTTGTGAATTACACGAATGCAGGGATGGTCAGGGAAGATGTGTCAGAGGCACTTATCATGAAGTTCCCCGAGCAATGAACCTGCCTTGCTGCCCAGAAGAAAGATCATTGCTTACTCTCCCTGCAACTGCCCATGGAAGATCATGGAGTTCACCCCCTGTGAGGTATTCGGAAAAGCCGTCTTCCTTTCAGGGACCAGGCCATCCATTTCCTTGTTTGGAGGGGAGGGTATACTTGCCAACACCCAGTCGAGTGGTCCAAGCTCCGCCATATCTTTTGGGCTCCAGCGACGTGGACGGCAGAGGCCGGCGATGCCCTCACCGGCGATTCGAGTCCTCAGATTGCACTGCTGTTGAAGGCTGATTTCAAAAGCCTCAGTTGGAGACTAATGGTCGGCCGAGACGAGACTTTTGGGGCCGCACATCATCTGGGTCATTTGGGGTCCACTGAGAGGGAGGTGGTTTTGTCTCATGCCGTCCCAGACGACTCTTGTGGATGATGAATATTATATATATATACACATGCATACATATGTTTAAAATGGTCTCCACTCTTCCACGCACGCACGTGCACACACTCACACAAGCACATACCACATCACCCTCCAACAGCTGAGATACCAGATGAGGGATTTCTCATGGGCCATGGAGATGTGACACGTGACTTGTATCCTGAGTGCTTTTCAAAATTGACTGCGAACACATTGGCCATGGAGACGGAGAAGCAGGAGCTGGAGAAAGGACGGTGCGATTTTGCGGCGGTGGACGGTGCGTGTGGGTGGATCTAAGGGATGCGTCGTGTTTGCACCTGGCAATGGGGGTGACTCTGGATCAATGCTTTTGTCATTTTTTGCCACTCAGATGTCTTAAGGGCATTTTCAGGCTGCATCCACTTTCATGATTAAACGAATAACACTCTTAATCTATAACCTCCCTCAGCCCTGAAGAGGTTTTTCATCCAATCCATGTCTGGGGGGCGACAAATTCATCCAGAGCCCTGACATCTTCAGCCTCCGTGTGAAGCCGAAGCCTGAGCCGCCTCGGCGCGCGCGGCCGCTCTCCGCGCGCAGCCGCTCTCCTCCAGGAGTGCTCCGAGCGCGTTGGATCGGCCCTGAGCCGGAGGAGTGGACCGACGAGTGGAGACCTCTCTGGAGACCTGGGTGCCCCTGGACGAGTCAGGGAGGATAGACCAGTCAGGAACCGAACACCAAAGACCGACAGGGAGAGGCGAACGTGGAGCTTCTTCTTTCGCACTGTCGACAGTGGAGAGGCTTGTCTTGGGGGTTTCAAGCATACTAGTACCACCAGTATTATTGATTCCTGCGTTGACTAGTTGGTAAACGTTTTCTGACTTTTTACCGTAGCCAGACTGGACCGATATCACTACCTCATGCTTGTTCCCACAGTATGGCAGCCCCACGATCAGATCTAAATCGGTTCATGATGTTGAAGAGATTCTTGTGGAGGATCCTTAATGGATTCATGAAGTCTGAAAATTCCCATCCAGATCATTCCAGATCTGCATCCCACTCACCGAACATCTGCTCCAGGAGGCTCTGCTGCGTGCAGGGCTCTTGGGCTTGAGCGAGGCCATCGGCACCGGCAGGCGGTGATCGACGTGATCGTCTCGATAGGTTCGTCTGGATGTCTGGAAGAATGGGGATGAAATGGTATGAAGAGACAGGGGATATATTGAATAAAGTGGTAGTAGCCACAAGAGCTGACCTTGGAGGATTTAGGACGATCTAGGATGATTTTGGTTGACTCTGTGCAGTGCCACAGGTGGTTCAGGGATTTGGGGCACGAGGGCAGCTGCCTGCCATCTCAACTAACACGCAAACAATTGAACAAAGAGTTTCTATGAGTTGATGAACTTTTGCAAGGTTCTCAAAAAAAGAAGCCAGTGATGTTTGATTGCGACAGCGCACAATCACGACCAGTAGCAGTAGCATCTTTTATTGAATGATAAAATCATTGATTAGACTGTAACTCACCAAATGCTCGCGAAAGACATTTGTGTGATACATTATTTGTGACGAAGGCTCACGAAGCCGAAGCCTCTGACATAGGCTTGGCTGCACACAGGCAGCCAGGCAGCCAGCCAACGACAGGGAAGCCTCGCGAAGCCACTTCCCACCAATTCTGACCCTGCGAAACGTAGGCAACCCGACAGTGGAGAAGGCACTTCAGAATTTTAAAAGAATGCGACTCAAGTGGACATCTTCTGAGACCTGAGCAGCTTTTGAACTCCCCACAGCAGCCCCTGGGAGACATCACACGTCCCTTCAGACATCACACGGCGGGCACGCGGCATGGGAGGCTCTTAGAATTTCCCAGAAGAGCCAATGGAACGCTGGGGGAGCCCGGTGTTCACATGATTTCACATAGTTTCTTTTGATGTTCTTTTGATTGGACACAGATGTTCGTCTGTGAAGTGGCATTGATCTTCGATTGATACGATGCCAAATTGTTTGGTGGGTGGGTTTGAGAAGCGTGTGCTTCTCAAGTGCCACATCTTCGCTGTCCCATGGCATTGGATTTCTCTCAAGTGCTGCGGCTGCAGGAAAACATACATAACCATGTATAATCACAAACTGATCATTAATCACAGTGCCACCATGTGCCACCGATGTGCAACTGCTGACACGCGGTGTAAGCAGTCCTAGGAGGTGCATGTGCATGTGCAGCATAAAAAGCACCATGCATCGCCACAGATGCGACACCACCGCTCGGCATACCCCTAAAAAAAGGAAGGTGCACCAGCAGATGTGGTTTTGGGCGCCGATTTTTCGTGCGCCATGACGCCGTTGATGCTGGGCCTCATGGTCTTCCTGACCTCCGCCGAGAGGTTTGACCCCACACCCGATGGACCCGACACGCAGCTGTTACAGCAGAAGCTGATGCTGAAAGAAACGCTGCCGACGCAGAAGCCGTGGCAGAAGTACACGTTTTTGGTGGGCGCCACCCACAAAGCTGGCACCCACTTGTTGAGGGAAGTGATGTGCTTTGCCTTCGATATCATGGGAGCCAGAGATTCCTGCATGTACCCAGAGTTCCGTGGGATTGGGGAAGGAGTGACTAGCACCGGTGTGTCTGACTGCAATGAGATGGATGCACCCATCCAGTATCACCAGTCCGTGCGCAGTAGCGTGATTCTTCGCCTGCGGGAGGAGGGTCCCCTTCGGGGGGTCATGACCATCCGGGATCCGCTGGACATGGTCGCCTCGGGCTATGTCTACCACCACCGTGGGGCTGAGCCAGACTTCCCCTTCATGCCCAAGAACATCACGCAGCTCAGCCCGGCAGAGGGCGTTCCGCTCATGGCACTGTACTGGCTTCCAATCATCACCGCCATGACCACTGCTTTCGAAGTGAAGGGCAATGATGTGCTAGCAGTGCGATATGAGACCATCACCAACTCCTCCGACTCCTTCAACGCCAGTGTTGGGGAGATGGTCGAGTTCCTCTTCCGGGGCTACATGTCTCCGAAGCAGAAGCAGCAGATTCTGGATGCAGCCAGCCGTGAAGACTTGCACCTTCATCCAACGGCCAGTGTCTCAGATGATCCTTCCGTCACGAACCACACCAGTCCGCCTGACGACATCACCGAAGCTAAAGAAGCCTGGAAATTTCTGGGGAAAGATCTTCAGAGGACGTACCATCACTTGCGAACCATCCTGGGCTACGTCTGAGTCCAGTCCTGAGATCCTGTAAATGGCCTGGAAAGGGCTCGGTACTGTAGCATGGGATTTTAGCTTGTTGAACAAGAAAGGGCATCCACGGCATCCAAGAAAGGGGTGTTCACGATCCATTTTGGGGTCTGAAAAACACAATCCCAACTTGGAATTCCAAGATGCAAAAAGTCGACTGCAGAAAGTTCCAAACATGCCAAGGATTTGCCATACTGTAGCAACTAAGAACATGCTGATTCTGACGCATGTTACATTTGTTTTATTTGTTTTTGATTTTCAATGCAACGTAGAGATCCCAACTCGACAGGACTATTTGATGCGTTTTTTTCAGTCCGAATTGTTAGAAGGGCGCCTTTTTACTCGGCTGTTTTCAGTTAATACCCATAGAACCCATTTTTACCTCTGTTCTGATAGAAAAAATACCATATTTTGGCTCCCAAACAGGGGTCAATCCGGCTCTATAGGTGTATATAAAAATATACAATTTATATAGTAAACCTTTGCTTGGGATTATTGAACCCACTCACTATAATATGTTTCTATTGACGCGGATGGGGATGATGAGCACAGTGGCGCCCAGTGGCGCCCAGTGTCGACCGGTCCGACTCTTTCAGTTCGCAGCGTGCCTTTGTTCCTTTCAGATCGCCTGGAGGGCTGAAGTCACAGGCTGGGCCAACCGGGCCACACTTGGGGATGACGAAGCTACACTTTGAGCCACCTCTCCAACGCTCGAGACACGGTCTGAGGCCGTTGCTGACGCGCCAGGGCTTCTTTGAGCGGCTTTTGAAAGGGGAGGCCGGCATCGACCGGCGTGCTTGTGTGATTAGAAGATTCCTATTCGTGGATGAAAGGCTCATATCACATATCCAAAGGGGCACCTATTGGAGAAAGGAGTTGGGTGCCCCTGTCACATCCACTCACTGAATGGGACTAATAACATCAAGCATTTCTTTGGAACTGCGGGTAGACTACCTACATACTTTCTTTGGAACCAATTGGAACCATTTGGAAGAATATAAAACATACTACATACTTCTATAATCTTCTATGTAGGAACCCTTTCATTTGGGCCACATACTTGTCCTTGGCCCCCTGCACCAATGGCCTTCACCCAGGGAAATCACCCTCCATCGCCTCTTCGAAGCCGGTGTCATCACCCGACCATCCACCGCGCACCGGCCGCGGCTCCAGACCTCCTTCCTCAACTGCGCCGCGGCCGATGCCTCGGCCGCTGAGGCGGGCGGCTCCTGGCGGTTTCGGAACATGGGGAGGGTAAGAGATGGTAGAGATTTGAGACGATTTCAGCCGTACCCACCTGAAAGAAACATTCAAACATCGAATCTTCCAGAAGCCCCAGATGCGACTTGTTTGGCATAGTGAAACCATTCCACCCATGGAGATGCATCGTCCATCTGCCAGACTCTACCTATCTGCAAACAGTTCTGGGCATTCGTACATGTTACATATCTCGAACCAGATTACCAATAAGATGGGCAAAGAAGAGAAAACAAAGCGGAAGAAGCCAGAAACAAATGAGTATAGAAACGACAAAGTTAGGGGCCGTTGGCTCATATATTGTCCTCACATCGCTCCTCCCTCGCAGTGTGCTGCAGTGTGCTGAGATGCGCAGTTCACAGGATGTTTGCCCATTTGCTGTTTCCACGTGGTTGCAGCGGATGCAGAAAGGCGGGTGGTTGCCGCTGAAAAGCATCCAACGAATCCCCACGATATCCAACAATGGTTTCTTTATGCCAACTTATTTATGTTCTTTTGTTGTGCTTTGTTGCTTGTTATTCCTGTTTTTCGGCTGCCAAACAAACACACAAGAAAGTTGCTGCCACGCTGCGAGGTTAGCACCAGATAGGAAAAGTGTGGTTTCTTGGTCTCGAACAGGGATCTCACCCTTGATTATGCTGTCTAGAAAGAAGTACCGTACTAATACTATGGGTTTGTGTTCTGTTGAGGTGTCCAGTTGATCTAGGCAAGCATACCCCATAGTCAAACATCATCCCTGCCCGGGAACGTCCACAAACATACAAACCCATCTGAATCAGAGCGGTCTTCTGCCAGATGACTGCAGACAGAATCAGACCAACTGAGCTTTGGCCGTGCACCGAAGATCGATGCACCGCACGAGCCGTCGACACCGGTGGAGCCGTCGACACTGGTGCCGTTGGAGAGGCAGATGTCAAGCGCTTGGCACTCCATCAACTCTTGGCGATCAGGCGAGGAAGGACAGGGCGGTTGGAGGGACCGGTTTGGAGGGGTTTGGATCAGTCGGAGAGTTGGAAGTTTTGGTGAAGAAGAGCACCCTTCCAAGAAGAATGGTAGAAATGATGGTATAGAGCCCTTTACCTATTGAAGTTTCTGTGAAAACAAGTATTTTCGCTGCTTGAATTCCTCCATGGTGGGCGGTCACTTGAAGCACCGTTCCCAGGAATCTGACCGTAGCTGGGAACATCCAGGTACTAGCAGAAGGGTTAAGTCGAATCAGTTGATGAGAAGTTGTGTCATGTGTGTGCGCGCTCGGTTTTTGGCCTGCCTTTTACAGTTTTGATCTTGTGGTGTGACGTTGTTGATCATTATTTTCAAGCATTCTTCCAGTGTGCACACAGTGTTCTGGATCTTTTTGCAGTTTTGTCGTTTTCTTGGCCAATCTCAAACTTGAGTCCTTGACAGAACATGTCAAACTTGAGTCCTTTTAAGCCCTGTGCTAGTAGAATTAATCTTGCACGTCTTGCACCTAAAGCCACCTTCAATAAAATCGGATTTTCTCGTGCCTTCTCCAAAAAGACTTCGGGTGCCTGCGTGTCGCGTGTCTTTCTTCACCAATAAAACGAGGGGTTCATCAACGTAGCGGGCGATGCCATGGCCGAAATGGCGCCGTTGGCATCCGTGTTCGCTCCGTCAGGCCGGGCTGCGGAGTGGGCCGGGCGTTACGGGATGTGCAGGGATGGGCGTTCCGGGCGGTCTCGCCCCAAAGGGACGATTTCGTGCAACTTGCAGTTTTGGTATTCACCTGCTCAGTCTGTTTTTGATATTTGCATCCAGGGAGTTGAGGACTTGAGATTAGATATTGCTAATTACAGTAGTCAGTCTGGGTGAAGCCCTTCAACCCTACAATCTGGGCATTTATATTTAGTGGAGCTTCTAGGGCCGATCAACCCCCTGCACTCCATCAACGACGCATAACGGCGCCGCCCGGCAGGTGTGAGGCGGCCTGTCGCGCAAACTGTCGCGGGACAGGTCGTCGCCTGTCGCGTGCATGTAGAGGGCAGGCGTGGGGGTTCGTGTCAGCCTGCAGCGTTTCATCAGAACTCCCAGTCTGCCCAGTTGCTAATGCTTGTTTTTGCAAGTCCTCTACCAGACACGAACAGCACCCTAGAGCCACGCCCTGCAGCAACGCCAGCATGCAGGCCGAACAGTAGGGATTGTATGTTTTCATCAAGCACAGTTTTTACTGAAAAACGTTTCGAGTGACTTACATTTCCAGCAGAGAGTGTGTGCGCGCTTGCCTGTGCACGATCTCACGACGGGGCCCGATTGAGACTGTAACACACTATGAACAGGGGGTTTTTGTCCCGGTTCCGGAACTCTTCTTGATCGGTGTTGCAGACTGACCTGAACTGCCACCCGTTGACTGTTCCAACTGGGCTCCACACCCCAAGCCAACACTGGATATGGAAGGAGTGTGAGGAGCTTGGAAGCCAAGAGGGCTTTGATAGGACCAACCAGGTTCATGATATAAACAGTATACAGTATGCGTACACTTGGCGGGTCTGTCCCAAAATCACCGAACACCCCAGTAATATCGGTCTATATATCACTCTGTATGTGAGGGGGTGACACTTGGTCACCGAAGGCTTCAGACCGGGTCGCCAACAACCGTCGAGGCCTCAGACCCGTCGACGGCCCTTGTGGCGTTTGGCACAGCTCTTGGGCTTGCGCGAAGTGGTGGTGCAGCTTGGAAGGTGCCAAACCGCAAGGGCGATGTGCGGGAGTGGGAGAGGGGTTGCTGGTGTGGTGGAAGAGAGCTCCATTGCAGAGTGTTAATTTTCTTGCTTCTAACATCTATAGGTCCATGCCAAATTGCCAAAGTCGAAACGGCTTGACCTTACGTTGAAACCTCCGATGTCCGAGTGCAACCACCGATCGGCATGCTGTCAACCCGTCAGGTCATTGAACTGGTGGGTGGACACACGTGCTGTAGCTGGATGTAGCTGGGTACCCAGAAAGGTGTTGGTATAGTTGCACCTCACCGGGGCAAGGCCATGGGATGGCGGTCGATGTTGGAGTCAACCCCAGATGTTGTACTTGGTAAGAGATCTTTAAGAGAATATGTTCCAGATTTTTCGGCAAGAAAGACACATTCTTCGGTCGAGAAGACAGACTGGAAACGAGTCGGCGCTGTGGGTGAAACATGTTTTCAGTCCAGGGTCTACGCACAGGTGCGATAGACGACGTTTTCCTGTTTACCAGAGTGAGTTTATACAGATGGGCATTGACAATGTCCCAAATGGTGAATAGTGGTCACACTAGCTAGGGATTCTTCAGGTAATGATTCAGGTTTGTGAGGCACATCAAGTTGTTGCAACACATTTCAACTCATCGACCACTGTGCTCCACACGAGGCACCTCCGCCCACAGCGGAAGCGCTTGGTTCGCTGGCGCAAGCGGAGTGCGTGGCGTGTGCGGAACACGTGGCTGTCTGCGTGGCAGGCGTGGGGAAGGTGGGGAAGGTGAAGTGGGAAGGAGAGGTGGGCCTGTGAAGGCAAGATATGATGCTGAGAGGACCCAGTCATGTTGAATTAATTGTTGGACCAGGAGAACATTGAAGAAAGAACAACGTGCATATACATCGTCTGTAGTTGATTTGTTGTGAGGACGATTGAGAGGAACCAAAGCCCTCTGTGTCTATGGCCGGTTTTTGTGGTTTGAGCATACAATTCATCTATTATATACTCTAAAAAGTTACGAAACATCACAGAATGTTATTCAAGTTCTTCATCTATAACTTTCTCCAAAGATGTATCTTCCATGTGCATCCTTGGGTCCGTCTGATTTTTTTCGCCCAGACGTATGGCCCCGGCCGCTGCTCGCGGCGCCTGCAACAGCTGCTCTTCTGCCCGCAGGAGTGTCTTTTCACCTGTGGATAAAGGGACCACTGAAGTAAAGGTAGATCAACATCTGGAAGCTTGGAGGGAAGATATTTGGCCAAAGCTCAGACCTTTGAAGAATCATCCTCTGATGCACATGTGGCCAGTCTTTGTTTGGTGATGCACATAGGATATGCTAGGATCTTTTCTTTACCATGTGTCTTTTAGTCTTTTGTCATTATAAAAGAGGGAAAGCACCTCGTCTCGTGCTGAGCACACGCCAAGACCAGGGAACCGCGGGGGAAGACGCTCCGGAGCCGATCTGCTGTGGTGAGCCGCCGTAGCAAGGAGAGCCGTAGCGATGCCACGCTGCTGTTCTTGCTGGTGGCCAAAGGACGAGGGCGGTGCTTTAAGGAATGGATATAGGAAGGAGATAGGAAGGAGATGATGGAAGAGTTTGTTTCAAGTCTCAAACCACGTGCAAGTCAGTCTCACGTGTTCAGCTCCTTTGAGCGGAAGTCCTGTTCGACCCGTGGCCCGTGATCCCACAAGGAGCTCCCCAAAGCTGGTCCCACAAGGAGCTCCCTCTGCTGTTGACAAGGTATCCATAGCTATCCTCCCTTGGGTCCCGAAAGTTCGGGACTAATTGCTAGAAGCTTAATAGGCTGGCCACATTGCTCTTCTATCAGGATATCTGAGAGGGTAATCCGAACACAACCATGTGAGTCTGGTATTTGAGTTAGAAAATCATCTGAAATCTTTGCTTAACCTTCATCAGGATTTTTGATCCGGGGTACCTGTCTCTTTTTCTATCAACCGCAAACCATCGAAATGATGGTCTGCTTATATTTTGGATCATTTGTTGTTGCTCTTTCTTTGCGTTGTTCTCAGATTCAATGGAGCACCTAAATCGAAAAAGGACTTCTTGACTTCATCTGCTCCCAGTGCAGCATCCCCTTGCAGCAGCAACCAGAGCGAAGAGGATGCCCCAACGATCAGACCGAGATGGGCGGTTGGAGCTCCAAGCTCTCCTTTCAGCGCCTAGGTGGAACGCAGATGAAGAGGGACAGAACATGACAGAACTGGGAATCAGGGGAGACGATGTTGGCCTCTGAAGTCTCAGTACCTGCCGTCTTCACCTCTCCAATGCCCAGATGTCAAGTCGCACGCGAAACCGCAGAGCAGGGCCGCCACAACCAAAAACCGATCTGAACCACTTCCTGGCACGGAAGAAACCGCAGTTCCTTCCGCCCGGGTCGATGCGCGGCGCGGACGCGACTGGCCGAGGAATCGGCGAGACTCGCTGGCCCGGTGCATCACAGGTGGGTCACGGGCACAGGGAGTCAATGGCATAAAGGGCCTCAGAACAGCGGGGATTTGACAGGTAATTGTGGTGGCTTAAAGCAGTTTTGGGCATGTTTTGGGCATGTTGGCATGTTCTTGCTGGCTGATGTGGGTTTAAAGCCACGCGTGTATATCGTTAGCTTACAAAACAGGAAGGTGCGGAAGGGCGGTTGGGGCCAAGGTTTTCTCTAAGTGGTATACCACAATGTGGTGCTCTGTCCGCAGAATGGCTGTTTGATCGTTGGAAAGTGACAGCGTTTTTTTGTTCACGCTGTCGTCCGTCCGGTTGTGCTGTCATCGTCCGTCGAGTTGCGAGGCCAGTGTCCGTTCTGTGGCTGGGAAGGGTCTTTGTAGACCAGCAGATCGGTTCTCCTTGTTGGTCGAGAACCCGTAGATAAATCGTCTATGTCTATTTGTGCTTCAAACTTCATTGGAAAGCGACAGGTCATGGATAAATCGGGATGTTGTCGCTGAACATGCAAACCTGTTGGCCTTCGAACGAAGACCTGTCGGAAAGTCCTTGAGCTAGAGACTCACGGAAGAGCATTGATTCATCATAGCGAAGGGGTCGCGCATCAAACCGCTCAAAAGACGCGTTTTGGGCGTTTTGCAACGCTTTCAACAAACATCAAGCGACGCGACTTCACAGAAGATCCGAACCAGAATTCTTAAAGAACCGCCTGGCGTGTACTAGTACAACATCTCATTTGTTTACAACAGGTCGCTTTCCAGAAAACGCCCCAGCTGTGCGCGGTAGCGGTAGTGCCTGTTGCTGTTATGCTGCA